CCATTCATGAGACCAGGTTGCTCCTGGCAATAATCCAACCTGTCCCTGAACACTTTCAGACGTGGGCTGTCCACAACTTCTCTGGACAACCTGTTTCAATGCTTCACTATTCTCTTTTTCTTCCTAACACCTAAACTAAACCAGCCCTCTATCAGTTTAAAACTATTGCCCCTTGTCCTGTCATTACCTGCCCATACAAAAAGTCCCTGTCTCTCCTTTTTATAAAGTCTCTTGAGGTACTGGATGGTATCTGTGAAGTCTTCTTTCATCCAGGCTGAACAACCACAGTTCTTCCAGGTCAAGTTTGTTCAAGTTTGTCCAGGTCAAGAAGGTGGGGGGGAAAGTTTGGTGGGAGCCCCTGGGCAACTGCAGCCAGAGAGAGAGGAATGAGAATATGTGAGAGCAACAACTCTGCAGACACCAAGGTCAATGCAGAAGAAGGGAGAGAAGGTGCTCTAGGCACCAGAGAGAGATTCCCCTGCAGCCTGTGGTGCAGATCATGGTGAGGCAGCTGTGTCCCTGCAGCCCATGGACATCCATGGTGAAGCAGAAATCCACCTAGAGACTGTGGAGGAACCCAGGTTGGAGCAGGTGCATGACTGAAGGAGTCCATGACCCTGTGGGAAGCCTGCACTGGAGCAAGCTTCTGGCAGGACTTGTGACCCTACTTCTTTCTCTGTAATGTATCAGAATCCTTCTTACTTGTCTTTGTAACTAAAACATTTCTCTTAGCCTCAATTACCTCTCCTTCTGATTACAGAAATCCTCACATCTTTCATGTATTCTCCTTGCTGTTCTTGAATCAGCTGAAATTGCCTGTTACTGTGACCACTGCACTGCCTCTTTCAAATATATTGAGAAACATGGCTTGGAATCCAGAGATATCAAAGGATACATGAACTGAAGAAAATAAGCCAAGGCAGAATGTAGTGCCATTGAAGAAAGTGAAATTAAAACCTATTGCAAATCCCAAGTGGATCGTGAGCTGTTACAAACAATGGGTAACTCATCGCAATCACTTTTCAGCAGTTTTTATCAGTAACCACACATTTGAGTCATTCTGATGTATAGAGAGAGATGTCCTATTCTCTGATGAAATCTTAAAAATTATATACTGGTTTGACAGAGAATCCTATCTCCTAAATAACTAAAAGACTTTACAGTTGGCCTAGAAATTTCATTTAAGGATTAGTGAACCCTGTTTTGCCTATCATGAGTAATTTACCTCAATTTTGTCCACTCAGAAGTGGTTTTATCTTAACAGAAATGAAAGCAAAAAGTTCCACTTTGGTCACTTAAGAGAATCTATTCAGTGAGTAATCTTGACATGAGCAGTGACTTAGTACTGAGCATTTTAAATCCAAATTAAGCCTCGCTCTTTCTTCTCATTATCATTTTTAGCTTATATCTCCAGCTCATGAAAACTTTCATGAATATGCTGCTAATATTTGTAATTGCATTAGTATTCTAATATTCCATCAAAATAATTTCAGATGGAATACATTGAACCACTTTGCAATATTTTGTAAGCTTTACTTCATGAAGGAGGAAGCTTCATTTATTAAGGAGGCTGTGGCATCTGTAACAATACTATTATGTTTCAAAAGAATGCTTCTTCATCTTTGGCTCACATTTATGCTCTTCTCCTAAACTTTTTTTTTTTAATGATGGTTGCTAGCAAGTATGCGCAAAGCAGGGTTAGTGACAAGATTATGCTGCATGGTTTGCATTAAATATTTTGCTGAAGAATCTCTGTGGTTCCTTCCTGCATTCAGAGCACTTTACAGTACTTTCTGTAACTGCAGTGAGGAATTGGCCCACTTTTGTGGGGGTTTGGCTCTATGAAAAATCAGCTGCTTTATCAACTTATCAGGAGAGACTGGGGCTATATGCCACATAGTGAAAATTAGGAGGTGCGAGCAGTTTGAAAATTTAAAATTATGGCATTATTTGCTTTGCCCAAAGTATTCTGTACACAGAGTAAATTAAGCAGCTATTTCTAAACCGAATGTTTCAGGTAAGAAGCAAAAATGTAAGAATCATATCTATGAGACCAACTGGGAAAATTTACAAATATTGAAGAAAAATTAATGTGATGTTTTCATAATCTAACATTTTATAAAATTATATTATAATAAATCTAGCCATTTTTCTGTATGAAAATTCAACAATCTCCAACTAAAACCCCCTTTAAAATTATGTCTTTATTACTAGTACTATTAATCATGTTTTTGGATAGAGTCAAGAAATGTCAGTGAACAATCAAAAAAGCTGAATGAGAAGAAAATGCATTATTTTCCAAAGATATATCAATAAGCATAATGGAAACTTCATTTTGTGCTTTGCACTGATTATTTTGTAGCCACAGTCATTATTTTCAAGTCATTAGCTTCATTAAACTAACTTTGCTTATGATTAGCCCTGTAAGAACAGTAATATCATATATATAAAGTTCTGGAACTTTTTTCTAAAGCACGAAACATGTATTTTAAAAAAATAAATTTCATTCATTGAATGGTAGTTTTTCAAGGAGCTAACTTTTAAATGGTTTTAGTCGGTGGTAAGAGATGGAAAGACTGTCCCCTTGTGGATAGGAATATGAGGAAAAGTGATACTGTAACTCACTGAGAGCAGCAGTAACCCCAGGTATTTGGAGTCTCATTAGGAATTTGGCTAGAATCCTGCCTTGCGCATGGCTCATAAATCAACACTCGGATGTACAAAATGCTATGGAGAGCCTTTTTATTGAAATTGGTTGGCCTGATAGACAGCAGAGGGTAAAGACTGAGCTAATGTGGCATCCTTGTTAACACCATCAGTCCAGGCTAACACGTAAATCTAAGTGCTGCAGGCAGCTGCAGCATTGCCTGCCTTTGAAGAAAGCTATTTTGAGAAGGACAACCTCAGAGCAGACAATCGAGAAGGCTCCACAGCAAAGACAAAGCCTTAAGGAGTATCTGTAAAGCAGTGTGCTGCCCACATGCATGCATGCATCTGTCCACCCCTGCTACAGCACCCATCACAGGACACAGGACACAGGACACAGGACACAGGACACAGCACCACTGTCCTCGCTCCAGCAGCCTCACTGACAGACGGACCAGAGCAGGACAGACACACAGCTGCCTGCAGGAACTTGTCTGTGCCTGCTGATGTTACATTATCTGTATTGGAGTTCCCCCATACACATCATCACCTCTGACCCATGAGAAATAGCAGAAGATGCCAGCACCCCATCTTCCCTCAGATTCAGGATAAACAATGGTAGCTTCAAATTTCCGCATGGGAAAGCAGAACTTCATGGGGCTGCTGAGATAGCAGGGGATCTTTCTCACAGGAAGTGTTCTGGTTGATGAAATCCAGTCCTTCCCTACTGCAGGCAGTTACAGCCTGCCAACATGTTCTTCTCGTTTTGCCTTTATGAAGAATTTTCTCCCAATTACCTCAACTGCAAGAATTTTCTGAAATATCATTAGAACCCTCACAAATTTTGGCTTAGATACATTCATGGTTAGTGTATATCTACCTATTCACTATATTATTCTTTATTTTATGCAGCTTTTTTTGCCTCCTTTTAGTTGAATCCCTGGCAAAGAGTAACCATATTCCCTCCTAGCCTTTATTTTGTTGAACTAAGCAAGCCACATGCCTGCTGCTTTATTGTACAAGTCAGGCTCCCAAAACACCTTCATAATGTGAGGTGTCACCTGAAAGTATCCTGTGGGCTCAACTTTTTCCAGCAGTTACTTAAGAATGTATTCAGACTCATCAATACACAACCTTACTCTGTCCCTAATGGAAACACTCTAACTGATGCCTTCTTTTGCAGCGTTGGGTTTTTTACACAGAGATCACTCCTAAAAAGCCCACTGAACTCAGTAGTTGATTTCATCTGTTGTTTCCTACTCCTTATTTCTCAGCTTGTCCCAGAAATTCTCATTTTTCCAGCAATGAAGGAAATGTTACTGTCTGAGAAACAGGTTAATGACATCCTTTGGAGATTTTCTACCACAAAGTCCTAAAGGTCACCAAGTCCAACACTGGCAAGCTGAGGTGCAGGTTGGTGTGAGGGATGAAGGGGACATAGCCTGAAATAATACTTGGCCTTTGATAAGAGGACATTTGTGAAGTCAGCACCTCTGGAGGTATTTAAGAGTTGTCTGTATCTGGCACTGGTGATACAGTTTAGTGGTTTAGGGGTTACAGTGGCACTGCTGGGTTGATGATAGGACTGGATTATCCCAAAGGGCTCTTCCAACCTTGATGGTCCTGATTCTGTAATTCTGAATCATGCTAGGTGGAGCTCACTGAATCTTAAATTGTCCTCCACAGAAAGCGAATGTGTCACATCTACATAATAGATCTGATACATAAAGTCATCAGGTTGTTGCTTGAAGAGTTGAAGGTGAAATCCCATGGGAAGTCATTGCAGGCCTAGATAGACACAAATATTTGCAGATATACATTAGCACTTTTCATTCAAATATATCCTGTTCCTAAATTTATGACATTGGATGAGTTCCATGCCCATGCTGGCAAATGGCCATGGCCTTATAATCTGGACAATGGGGGATTCTGGTTAAAAAAAACATCCAGACAGAAATGCAGCAAACCTACACTGTTGATATGGGGTTTTTTGGTTTGGGTTTTGTGTGTGTGTGTGTATGTGTGTTACAGGTCACTTTGACTGTCAGATGACAATAAACTAAAAGTGAAAAAGAGGAAATTATTAAAACCTGTTTCCTCTGCCTCTGACCTAACGCTAGGAAGCAATGTGAAACCAGACTTTATTTCTGTACTTCACGGGGGAAGCGTCATGGGGGTTGTGAAAGTTCCCCGGTTCCTCCCTGGTGATAAAACTTCTTAAAAAAAAAAAAAAAGTGTATCTTTGCATAATTTCATAACGCGGGCTCGGGGCAGCGGCTGGCTCTGGGGAGGCTCCGGGCCCGCTCCCGCCCCGCCCCGGCGCGGCCCGGCCCGGCCGGCACTCGGCGCCCGCCATGGCAGGGCTGGGGCCGGCCGCGGAGTCGCGGCCGCTGCTGGTGAAAATCGTGATGGCCGGAGAGTCCTGCGTGGGGAAGACCTCCATCGTGCGCAGGTACACGGAGCCCGGCTCGCCTCCCGCCGGCTCTCCCGCCACTTCGTACTTGGCCACGATCGGTGAGTGCCCGCCTGCTCCGTGCGCCTCCGCCCGCCTCGCTGCCGCCCCTCGCCCTCCCCTCGCGGTGCCCGCGGCTCGCACACGGCCGGACCGGCGCTGTCAGCGCGGCTCTGCCGGGCTGGGAGGTGTCGGACCTCCCTGCGCTGAGCTGTGCGGCTCTGCAGCCGCGTCCAGCAGTCAAACCTTTGCCGTGGTGTCAGGACATGTGTCACACTGGCTCCAGAGCCACTGCAGAGAGCTGGCTTGTTACACTGTCCTTGCTGCTCGTCTGGGCTTTGGGAACCTGCTCCTGGGGTAAACTTGTGAAGACTTGTTCCTTCTTATTGCCCACTGAGGCCCTGCTGCTGTACATCGGTGCAGGTGCAGAGAAAACAGTACAGAGCCCCAGATCAGCTAGGCTGGAAATGGCCTCTGAGATCATCGGGTCCAACCTGTGACCAAACACCGCCATGTCAAACAGACCATCCACTGAAAAGTTGGAAATAACAACCAGAGTTAAACACCTCCAGGGTGACTCCACCACCTCCCTGGGCAGCCCATGCCAATGTCTAATCACGCTTTCTGTGAAGAAATTCTTCCTAATGTCCGACCTAAACCTTCCCTGGCACAGCTTGAGGCTATTTTCTCTTGTTCTGTCACTTGCTGCCTGAGAGAAGAGGCCCATCCCCACCTGGCTACAGCCTCCTTGCAGGTACCAACCTCAGAGAGCTGTCAGATGTCAGTAGTAAAAAGCCCAGTTAATCAATATTTCAGGCTAGAAAGGGCTTTAACTTTGTGTTTATAAATTTAATAGTATAAGGATATCCTCTGCTGTAGTTAGCAGTGTGCATGATGATTAAAGCAGAGCTGTTGCAATGATGGAGATCATTAACCCTGCCAGACCATGTTATTTCTGTCCTGGCACGCTGTAGCTGGTGGGTGATGGGGAGCTCCCCACTGCCTTGGCACTGCCAGGCTCACAGTGCCATGGGGAATGGCAGGATGGCAGGATGACTGTCCACATGCTGAAAACCTTGTCTCCAGCATGAAGATGTGTTATGTGAGCACAGTGGTTTGATTTGCTGTGGACATTTTCCCACATCCTCATTAGGAAATTTTAATTTTTAAGAGTTTGTGTGTAAGAATATTTTTTCTTTGATTTGATTTGATTTGATTTTGAAGAGAAAACTAAATTATGCCAGGAAATGGTGTATTCATGCGTTTGGAATATGCATGGTTCATTTACACATGTTTCAATCTGGGAGATACTGGCAAAGTGGAGTTAAATACCAGACAGCTGTGGCAGTAGTTTGTCCAGGGAATACTTAATGTACACAAGATGACTTGACCTGCCCACATAAGAATGGCTGAACTTTGACCACTTTCTATTTTCTTGCCCTTTCTTACAAACCAGTTTCTGAAATCAGCACAGACAAAGAGGGAAGAACACAACAGTAAAGTCAGGAAATTGATCCTAATAATAGGCAACTTGTTGCCAGGCTTAGCAAGAAACCCCAAAGAATGGCTGTAAAAATAAATAACAGCTTTGTTGATGTGGTTTACCTTCTGACCATGAGATTATTTATTATTTTGAGATGTAATTTCTTTTACACCTGATTCAGTCCACTGCAGACTCAAAAACTTTTATATGCTATTAGGTATATATTTCCCAAGTTGTGACTTGAACTATTTCAAGGAATAGTAAAGATAATAGTTTTTGTGACAGTTTATGGACTAAGATTAATCTCTTTAGTTTCATTAGTGGCACCTATTATTGAGATATTTAAAAACTTTTTTTGAAAGTGCTTATCTGTAATACAAATGAATAATCCAGACATGGTATTTGATACCTGAATGTGTTTTTAAAGTTATTTCTGAAATACTGTGTTACATTTAATTCCATTTTACTATGTGTTTTAGAGCTTGGACTTTGAAAACAAGTGGGATTATGAGTGGTGTCTTCCAAAAGTAATGTTGGAAGTGGAAGGTTCCTTCTTCATTGAGACAGCTGGAATGGAGAGGATGCCCTATAGATTGTGGCTCCTAGTGTTGGAAAGGAAGAAGACACATAGTGTTTTCTCAGTTTGTGATGTCTCCTTCCTCACTGTTGATACCATCAGAACAAATAACTTTTTTTATCTGGATGCCTGTTTCATACAAACTCAGTCAAATGATTCCTTTCTGTTGTAAAACCTATTAAATGCTCAACTGCTGTCAGGTGATTTTTCACCTTACTTGTCCAGTTGAAGCAGTGATTTGAGTAGAGGGAAGATTATCCTCACTGTGCAGTCTTGCAACTTCCTGAGTTCCCTAGCAAAATCACATGCCATCACCTTCCTTGGTGGCAGAGGGTCATAGGAACAGAAGTTAAAAGGTTGTTGAAAGTCTCATTTCTATGTCATCATGAATCACAGATTTGTGTTACTAGGAGAGATCCTATTGTTATTGCAGGGGGGAAAAGCCAGACAAGCATTTTGTAGTAGGCTCTGGTAGTTTCTAAAATTATGTATTCTATGAGAAAATGCAAAAAATACATCCACTGTAAATTTTCATTGAAAGATTCTAATGCAGCACTTAAATACTCAAGGCTGGGTGCCCTTCCTCCTCTTCAATGACATAGTGTGGAAAAATGATCAGCAGTTATAGTTTTCTAATTAAACTTAAATGCATCATAAGGTGGATGCATTGTATTATGAATAGATTATAAAGAATAAACGGTTTTGTTTAAACAATATTATTGCTTATAAATTCATAGAGGTTTATGAACAGAAGAACCTCCTGGTATACCAGTGAACAGAACTGTGATCTCACAGGCTGTGAGGTTATTTTGCTGTGTTATGGTCGCTGTGGTCCTTCAGCACATGTGTTTCTGTGAGAAACTTTTCTGCAGAGCTGTGAGTCCTCCCAAATCTGTTATAGTTGAAAGTGGTTGAAAGTGAATAGTTGAAAGTGAATCCTAATTCAACATTAGGATTAAAAAGTCTGTGTAGGTTCCCTGATATTTACTTTAGAAGGGAATAAAGTAAGCAACAAAAATGAACCATATTGAAGGTAAATGTGTCTTGTGTTAAGAACATCAGTAGCAATCCACATCTTAATTTTTTTTAACAAAACTGGATATTTTTGTCACTCTTGTTTTCCTAACAAACCATCTTATCCCATGAGTTGCTTTTCTCAGCAAACCAGGAATTACCAGTACTTGTGACTGCTCAGACACCTCTCTGCTTCAGACATTGCTTGATATGTTCATTAAAGAATCTGATGCAAGTAATGCACCAGCAACTAGGAGGGGTTAAATAGGGGTTAGGAGTAACAGTGGAAACTCAACCCACCATGTCTCACTGGGCCCTTGCCCAGTTTGGGCACAGGAGCTGCTAGGAACTCTTTCCCTGTTCCTGGAGTTGAAGATGCTGTATGACAGGCAGTGGGTTGGGTGAAACCTGCACAGGGGCATTCACCACCCTCTGTCCATGCTTTCACTCTTGTGTCCTGCTTAGCTACTCAAATTTGCATTTTTGTTGGATAGACATACGTTTTTGAGCATTTTCTATCAGGAACCCACCAACTCTGTTTGGGTGCAAAGTGTGATGTAATTTTCCAGGCCAGCTGCAAAAGACCTCTTTGAAGAGGATTTCTGCAGTTGGCCAAAGGGAGGGAAGAGAGGGGCATTTCACAGCTGAATTACCCTGTGGCTGACTATTTTTATGCTTTTTAGACTTAATTGTCTTTAAGATGCCTCAGTGTTAATATGAGCATTATTTACTCTTTGGAATATAAGGAAAATAAATTTTCATGGCTATAAAAGTTGGAAATAACAACCAACCAAGAATTAGAGCTTGCACCCAGCATTCTCCTTCTTGGTTTTATTTGACAGCTTAAAAGAAGCAAGAACATGCTGTTGCATTGCAATAACATTTATCTCAAGAGCTGTAATCAATGCTTGCTTTGTTATGTTGATCAGGTTATATACCAGGTAGGCCTTAAAAGCATCTGAAATCCGTGAGCTGTCTTTGGCATTGTGTATCTCATTTTTCTTTTCTGTCTTTCCAATTTGCTAAGTTTGCTGGAAATTTCATATAAAGACATGAACAATTCATGCATGCAGAACATATTGACTTCTGTTTTTCACTAACATTCATTGACCTTTTAGGTCAATAAATTTTGAAGTTGACTTAAGAAGTCAATATGCCTGATTTTAATTTAGATTAAGTTTTAGTCTGATTCAGCACTCTGCTTCTCTTTTTACAATTTTTTTAAAAAGCTTATAGCAATTTATTATTAAAATGTATGTCAACTAAGAACTTTTCCCTATAGTTCTGGTAATCCCTGTCTGGAATATAACTTTTTGCTGTGTTCCCAATGCACCATTTGTAAGTGACATTCCAGCCTCCCAGTGTATACTCTGTTCCTCTCAACTGCTTCAACATCAATTGTAGAAAATTATACAGGTAATTAAACAAAACCATGTGAATTTCAGGAGCAAATGTTTTCCATCACGTTGGAATTTCACCTTACATGAGCAAATTTTACTTAAATCACATTTCCTTCTGACAATATTAATTCCATCAAGGAAGCTTTGTGTAATACTAATTACCAATACCAATTATATTATTTCATTCCTTTTCATTGAAGCTTCAATGAAAATTCATCAAGTGAAGGACATGATTATCATAATAATTTTTAAAATCCACCTCAAGTCCCTTACCACATACACACAGAAAAATGGTAATAGCATTGAAAGTGCATGTGAGTGCATGCATGTGAGAGTGTACTTGTCAAAATTTTGTGCACCATACATCTGTCAGTACAAGGGAAGGGAGCATTTCCTCTGTGTTTTTGGTTTGCTGCCATGAGTTCTTTCCTTTGATAAAGTAATTTGGCTTGCACATTCTTACAGAAATCAGTTCAGTGGTATTAACTTAAAATTTTTGTGATTTTTCAATCTGTTTGGTTCCTTCAAATGACATTATTACTGGTGAACAAATACTGTCATTTTAAGTAGCTATAATTTGATCTTATGGAATTTTGCCCATACAGTATGGTCAGCTGTCACAATGTTACCTTAACTTCATTTACTATAATTGACAAAAAGAGCCTAATTGTTTTTCAGTGGGGGACAAAAGCAGTCACGGAAATTATCAAATGGTATTTCAAACAATGAAGTAATAGGAGAAACAATGCTTTACTCTGCAAAAATATGTCACTCTAAGATAGCAGCTGATAGCTGGCAGATTCTAATTTTAGAACTGGAACTTCAACTGTTCATAAATCTAGGTATCATCTAGCACATCTGGAGTACTAATTTGACGATTCAGTAAAGGAAAACACTATAAATCATAAGGAAAATATCTTTGAGGAAGGATCTGTAGTTTATGTAGAGACAACATTCTGCATTGATTTTAAGTGTTAATGCTTGCTTTTAGCACTGGCTTTCTGGATCTGATTTAGGCTGTAGAGCCAGTCCTCTTCATTTTGAATTAAATCCCATGTATGTTTGTCTTTGCATTTAATGTGTACAGGCAAGTCCTGTTTCTGCTCATGTACACCTAGATATTTTTTTAGGGATTTGAAAGTAAGGACAGAAAAATTGTGTTGCACATGTGATAGCTGCTTTGTAAGCATTTTTACCTTCCCACTCATAGCTGCCATGCTCTTGAAAATCACCAGTGTATTTGCACAATGTACTGCTGTGCAAATGAAACTGCTGTCATGTCCCTTGCCAATCCATGGTAATACTTGCAGTTTCAGAGTATCTTCACCTTTGCTTTGACCTGCCCTTTCTTTGCTTGGTATTGGCATTGCTTTGCATTGTATTTGTGCAATGTATTGGCACTCAGCAGTGAATAAATTCCTTTTAAAGCTTCCATTTTGAGTGTATGTGGTTGGCTAGTTATTCTTTCTATGGTATTGTTCCTTTTCACTTTCTGTTTGAAATTGCATGATAACTAGAGCTGAGAAACAATCTTCAAAGGGAATCCATGTTATTATGAGAAATGTTACAGATTTTCCTTTTTTCTTCTAGGCATTGATTTTAAAGTAAAGCCAGTAATGTTTAATGATACAAGAGTGAAACTTCAAATATGGTAAGTTTTAATTGGTATCATAAAAAAAAGCCATCTAAATTGCATTATGACATGAAAAATCTCATCTTCTTTGAATTGTGTGTCTTCATAATGTGCAGGTGCTCCTACTAGAAAATTTTAAAATTTGAGTTTAGCCTGGGAGAGTATATTTTTTTGCAACAACTAATGTACGTTAAAAAGAGGGCTGTCACCAGGTTGCATTAGCAATAAAACTTGCAGCATACAAACAAGTGCAGGTCTGTGATCCCTATGAAGTGTATTTAATTGTGTAGGAACATTGGGGAAAGTGACAAAGCAAGAATATGTTACATTTCATTACCCATCAAATGTGTGTCCAAAAGGGTCACCAAAAGAAATTACTTTTGATAAGATGAATCTTTGGGAATGTGCACTATTTATGGTTTTGAAATTTTTCTAAAGGTTATGTAAGGCTTCTGACACCTGGCTCTCCAGGCATCTAGTACTGAAGATTATCTCTATATACCAGTATTTAACTTGTCAAGGAGTAAATCTATGTATGAATTATTTGACCAGTATTGGATCAGCACTTATTTCATCTCAGACTTTAATGCAAAAATAATAGAGGCTTGTTTATAGTTTTCTTAAGGCATAATTCATAGAATCATAGAATATGCTGAGTTGTAAGGGACCCATCAGGATCATTGAGTGACTTCTGGCCTTGCACAGGGCACCAAGAATCACACCACGTGCCTGAGAACATTCAAATGCTTCTTGAACTTTTGTCACGGTCAATGGGTGACAAAGGTTTTTCTCTGGCTGAAAAACCTTTTCTTGACAGCCAGCCTACCTGCCCCTGACTCAGCATCAGGCCATGTCCTCAAGTCCTGTCACTGGTCTTGAGAGTGAAGAGATTGGCACCTGCCCCTCTGCTTCCCCTTGTGAGGAAATTGGACTGCAATGAGGTCTCCCTTCAGTCTCCTCCAGGCTGAACAAACCAAGTGACCTCAGACACTCCTTGTGTGGCTTCCCCTATTCTCATGGCCCTCTGGATGCTCTCTAAGAGCTTGATGCCTTTTTTATATTGTGGTATCCAAAACTGCCCCCAGTACAGGTGAGGTGAGGCTGCCCCAGTGCACAGCAGAGCAGGACAATCCCCTCCCATGCCTGGCTGGTGCTGCTGTGCCTGGTGCACCCCAGGACATGCTTGGCCCTACTGGCTGCCAGGGCACTGCTGGCTCATGTTCAAATTCCCGGTGACCAGGATCCCCAGGTCCCTTTCTGCAGCCCTGCCTTCCAGCAAGTCATTCCCCAGTCTGTACACAGGACCAGGACTGCCCCATCCCAGGTGCAGAATCTGGCACTTGCCCTTGTTAAACTTCATGCAGTTGGTGATTGCCCAGTCCTCTCATTTGTTGAGGTCTCTCTGCAGGGCCTCTCTGCTCTGGAGGGAGTCAACAGCTTCTCCCAATTTAGTATCTTTGGCAGACTTGGTGTCCCTTTGAATCCTGCATCCCAGTGGTTAATGAAGACGTTGAAGAGAAGTGGGCTGAGGATGGAGCCCTGCAGAACCCCACTGGTGACCAGACCCCAGCCTGATCACCCCATTCACTGTAACCTTTGTCCCCAGCCTGTGAGCCAGCTGCTCACCCATCACTGAGCATGGTTATCCAGCTGTGTGCAGGACATTTGGTCTGGAGGGTACTGTGAGAGACAGTAACAAAAGTTTTGCTGAAGTTCAATGAGATCATATCTATTGGCTTTCCTAGATGGTGGATTACCATTTTAGAGAGGGAAGTCAGGTTCAACAAGCAGGACTTTGGCATGCTGTGCTGTCTGTGGCAATGACTGTGTTGTCGTCCAGGTTTATCTCCCAGAATAATATTTTTCATTATTTTACTGGGCACTGAAGTGAGACTGACAGGCCTGTAGTTTCCAGGGTCTTGCCCTTCTTGAAAACTGTGACAGCTTTACCCAGCTTCCAGTCAGCTGGGACCTCTCCAGACTCCCAAGACTGCTTAAAAACCAAGAGAGGCTTTGTGATGACATCAGCCAGCTTTTTGAGAATTCTCAGATGAATCCCATCAGGCCTCATGGATTTGTAGGGATCCAGCTGGAGAAGCAGTTCCCACACAATTTCAGGGTCGACCGGGTGTTGATCATTCACACAGTCATGGTCCTCCAGCTCAGGGTGCTGAGACCCCCTTGGTCTGTCATCTGTGTTGAAGACAAAGCATGCATTAAACACCTCTGCATGTCCATGTCCCTCTAGGTGAGGTGACCATCCTCATCCTGTAACAAGCTGATGTTATTTCCACACCGCCTTTTGCCATTCATATATTTGAAAAAATTTTGTCTCCCATGTTTCTGTCAGCTTCAATTCCACACAGTTTCTCCCTATAGTGGCAGACAGAATCTCTGTGTTCTTTCCATGTCACCTGACTTTGCTTCCCCTGGGCATGCACCTTCCTTGTTCATTTTATTTCCCATCAGGTTTCAGTCATGCCAGTGATGTCATGTCTCTGGGACTGGGACAAAGCTTGGAGCTTGTCTCATTTGTTCCTGTTGCTTGGTGTAGTAGTATAGAAACATTTCAGGTATGGTACTTTGTAGCCAACATCTCCTGAAGCAGATTGAGGGATCCCATTTGTGTTTGTTTCCTCAAGTTCTGGCATTACATGTAAGAACCAGTGTGTCCTTATATTTTATGGCTTTTTCCCCAAAACCTGTCTTCCATCTAAACCAGGTTGTTGTTTGTATCACAGTTTACAAAGGGGTTGTCAAAATATGGGGATCTCATCTGACATGTTTTTATCACCTCAATTATTTATATAAAGAAGGAATGGTGGGCTTGACATTACTCTCAGGTTTCAGCCACTGGCTTGGCTTCACTAGTAGGGCTGTATCACACAGAATGAATTTCCAGTGTATTTCTTTTATTGCTATATCTGGCACCCAGATTTTCTGTCATCTGTGTTTTTTCTTCTTCCTTTCGTGTTAGAGTACATAATTTAAAATTTGAACAATACTCCTTAAAGTAAAGTAATCTTTCTTGGGGATTCTGCAGTCTGATAATCTCTTTTTTGTTTGTTTGTTTTGTTTGTATGTGTGTGATTTGTTACAATTTCCTTCAGGGATACTGCTGGCCAGGAACGGTTCCATACACTTAGTACCAGCTATTTCCGCGGTGCACAAGGCTTTGTTCTCGTATATGACATCACAAATCTGAAGAGTTTTCAAAGTATAACAATCTGGATAAATGACATATATGAGGTAAATATATCTGTCAGCAATTGATCACTAAATGAAGGTAATTAATGTGTCATTTTAAATGACTGCATGAGAGGTATTCTTGTTCCTGTATGTTTCTGACCAGAATTTCTTGCATTTAACTCAGCACACAGTATGATAGTAGAATTACTGTCATCTGAAACTGGAACATGGTTTATATTTAGGCAAGCCCATGTTGATGGAGGAATGTTTTCTGAAGTACTTCTAAAACATAGCTTCCAATCCCTCTTTGTGCATGCTGCGTTATGGTGCTCTTGTCACTGGTGTGGCTATGCATAGATAGTCTGCATGAGCTCATCCTGGGATTTTAATTAGATTCCATATCAAAATTCTGTATCACAGCCAGTGATTTCCCTTTCCTAATTTCATTACTTCAGTGTAGTTACCTCATCCCAAGATCAAAGGAATTAAATATCCTCTTTGTCCTTGCTGCATATTCCTGGAGAGGATGGTTTCAAGAGGGAGGAAGTGGGGTGGGAGGCTGTTTGGTTAGCTCAGCTGCTCGGGCTGCTGCAGCCAGAAATACGTGCTTTCATGTGACATAGGAAGTGATTCAACAGCACATGGCTGCCAGACAGGGTATGTGTTCCCACTGGAGCTTGTCAGAGCCCTCTGTGCTTCGCTCTGACTTCCTAATGTGGTAGAAAATTATCACAGCAAAAGAAATTGAGTGTTTTTTCTGCTCTATTAGTGAGTTTGAGAGGCTCATAGAAAGGTCTGACACTTATTGGAGCTGCAGTAAGGTAAACAGGTAAGAGTAGGAAGGCCAGAAGATGAATGTCTGGAAACAATGTGAAGGGACAGAAGCGTAGGTAAACCCTGGTAAACCCATGGGTAAACAAGAGATCATTCAGCTGACTCTAACCCTGTATTCCAAGTCTTTTTTGGTAGGTCTCTCTGGATGTGTTCTCGATTAGATAGAGGCAAGGCAGTTTTAGACTAGAATAGTTCAGCTGTAAAGGACCTTCAATGATCATCTAGTCCAGCTGCCCAGCCACTTAAGCACTGACCAAAAGTTAAATTATATTATTAAGAGTATTTTCCAGATGCCTCTTAATTTGGCTTTGGGGAATTGACCATCTCCCTAGGGAGCCTGTTCCAGTGTTTGACCCCGGTGAAGTAAAGAAATGCTTCCTAATGTCCAGTCTGAATATCCCTGGCACAACTTGGAGCCATTCCCATGTGACCTGTCTCTTGATATCTGGGAAAAAAGATCAGTATTGTTCTCTCTACTTTGCCTCCTGAGGAGGCTGTAGGGAGCAGTGATATTTCCCCTCAGCAGTAGCACAGCAGTTTGTAGTTAGTATGTTTGTGGAAGTTGGTGTAAGAATACAAGCATGGTAGTGCTCTCCGTTGATCAAAATCAAGTTAAGTTTAAGGCAAGTTTTTTAATACTCTTGTGATTTTGTGGGCATGGATGGGAAAGGGGGCTTTTCATCTTGGGACAGGGGGCTTGAAATAAAACCATCAAATGCATTATTTTCTCTCTTCACAACTTCAGTATACAGCTGAATTGATGAATTACACATGATCATATATCCAACAGTATATACATGGGATATCTTATACCCTTAGGAAAACATTACGTGCACAATATCTCATTTTTAAAAACATTACTCTGGTAACCTAGTAAATCATTGTTCTTGACCTTAGAGGCATCTTAAAAGTCCTAGTGGTAACAAAGCCTAACTTCAGTAATGTGTTACAAAGGAGATTCGATGACACAATATTCTTATTGGCTTGCCTGCACAAACTTTAAACTAACACATCTGTTTTCTTACTCTTTTAAAAAAAGCATGTGCCTTTCTTCTGTTGGCCAAATAAAAGTCACAGCTAGATATGCCACTACAGTTGTACAGTTTCATGGTTAACATAGATTTAGCTCAGCAAACAGTATGAGGGCAGTTTGAAACTGCAAATGTAGATTACCTGCATATATCCTTTTCTGTCTGTCTAGCTATCATCCATCTATCTATCTATCTATCTATCTATCTATCTATCTATCTATCTATCTATATTTCAACATAAAATATTGTTCTGGCTTCACACTGGCTCCAATGGGGTCATATTGTCCTGTCATCTTCAATTAGATCAACAGGGTGATTGATTCAGTGGCCTACAGTGCACAGCCATAAACAGCAAGAAGGTATCAGGGCTGTATGGCCAGGGTGGAGGGAAGGATGAGAGTAGCTCCTGTGGCCACCATGCAGGCTTAGATCTGATTTAGTCAATCAGGAAATGACACCTGCACAAGCCTGCTCTCCATTTGTGACATTTTAAAACTTTCGTGTAAATGTACTCAAGGTATTGAAGCTTAGACTGTTTAATCTTAACCCCTGAAGGTACTTCTGTTAAAGTTTAAAAAATGGAAAAATAATCTAAAACAATTTCTAGGAATGTAAATTGCATGATTGATTGTACCAATCTCAAAACTAGCAATTAGTGTTGTAATAGAGCTAGATAGTAATAAAAAATTTAATTTAGTCCTAGTGGGATATCAATTTCTGAAGTGTCTTGGTGAAAATATATGGGGCTATTCATTGCAAAAGAAATGTTTTTAAGCAATAACTGTTAAAAGACAGGGCATTTCATGAAAATTAATTACTTCCTGGAGGTCGGTGACATTCCTTGCACTTTCTTTGGTCTGTGAATGTAAACCAGTATTTAATTCCCTACAAATGCCCAAAATCAAAGTGACTGTTGCTACAGCACCATTTAAATTATGCAAGTATAGAAAAAATAAATAAGTTTTTAAAAGGGAAACAGAGAGAAACCAGACTTCACTAAATACCAGACTAATGGGTGTAAAGCTTGCACCTGAACCAGTCGAACAGGAATTTTGGAGGCAATTCAGTTATTACATTATGCTCTCATCTTTTGGTTCTTTGCACATTAAGATTTTAAACAGAAAGTTTTCTAAAAATCTGTTCAGTGTGCTAAGCCATTTTTGCAACAGTTGAAAATAACAATCCAAGCAATTTAGTATTCTTAAAAACTCCCATTGATTTTAAAAAAACTGGCCAGTCAGTGCAATTACAATCAGATTACCAGTAATGTTCTCATTATATTTCAGTTAGTTTAAGTGTGGAATACAGCAGCTTCACTATTAAAAATGAGTTATTGTCCAAGGAAGTACAAGACACAAATATGCTTCCATATCTGTATTGCTGTAAAATTTGAATTCAGAACTAGAGGGAACTAAGTAACATAACTGTACTTTTTGAAAGCTTGCTAGAAAAATATACTCATACACAGATTAATATTTTAGGACGTTACTGGCAAGTCCAATATAGGAATATTGGATTTGTAATGCATTCATTAGGAGCATGATAATTGCAGGAAGATAACTTTAGAACCTGAAACCATTCTTTATTTGTAGAATTTCAGGTTATGTCCAATTTATGAAAGTGTTCCTCCTGCTGACCTGGCTTTTAGCTACTGTATGCACCTGTTCTGAAAGGCTGATGCTGCTTGGCCTTTGAAAATTAAATAAATGCAAGCAGCCGTGTGCCAAATCATTTTGCAGAAAACAGTTTTTTCCAGGATATTTTAAACAAGATTCCAATTAACATTGTCAAAAGGTTCCTCACAATAGAGTGGCTCAAATGCTCAAATAGGTGCCCAGAGAGGATCACTTAAAGGAGGCACTTAAAACTCCATTCAACAAAGCCTTGAGCAACCTGACCCGATTTTGAAGTTGGCCCATCTTTGAGCGGAAGACTAGACCAGCTGACTTCTAGAAGTCTTGCCAACCTAAATCACTCCATTATTCACACATGGCATCTGGGTCCCCAAAAATGGTTGACATAGATGGTAGGTCATAATTTACTTCTAAATACCTTGAATTTGTTTTAATTGTGCTAGTCTCCTGATGTGGCCATCGAGGTGGCAATACCAGCTCCTAACAATTATCTCTGTGCTGGAAATTGTCAGCCATCACAGAATTTTCTGCATGGAGAAGATAATTTTCTTTTCTTGTGCAAGTCTTGGTTACAGTAGTTTAGTGTTCTTTTAATACATTAATTTTCTATTTGTCCTACCTGAAGAAGTGACCTCTCAACCAGGAGGGATATGAACTGTATGAATTATTGAGTTGCTCTCATTTCTGCATAGTGGCCTTTTTTGGTTTGGTTCCTCTGGTGCATTTGGGACACTAGACTGTATTTCAGCATCATACTTAAATAAAAGCAGCACAGCAAACTGCTTTATAAGTGCAAATTAGTTTGACTTGAAGCTCTTCTCAGTTTTTCTTCCTCAGGTGGGAAAGCTTGATGTCAAAAGATTGAATTCTCCCAATTCATAGATAGTTTTGTCATTATGGCTCTGATTAGAACTTAAAATTCTTGCTCTTGTCATTTTATTAAATTGGTTTATCTGTAGTCCTGAGTTGGCTTTGGGATAAATTAGTTTATATCTACTGCATTCTAAATTTGCTAGTAAACAAATAAATTTGATCATTCTTTTATTTCCACTGAAGTCCTGGAAACAAGGCATTTGTAATGGAGGTCATAAAGTAGTACTTAGGAAAATATGTGGAAAGAGACATGTTTGGCAATCCTAATGTGAGCACTGCCCATGATGCTTTGAAAGACACTCTGAGGACAACCTATTTCTAACAAATTGTTCTTCAGTACTACAAAGGGTAGGTTTCTAGTGTCATTGTCTAATGAGTAAGAAGTTTCCCAGTTTTATGGCCTTCTCCAGCTCTGCCTTCATCTTGATGTTTGGCCATGTACACCTTCTTCAAATGTGAAAAGCTACATTTCTTCCTCAAATACAGACTATTTAAGAATTCCCATAGTTTATTTATCAGGCATGGGTTCTCAGTTTCACTGTTTGGACCTACAGACAAACTTCTGTTGCCTTTTCAAGCTGTAATTAATGAGTATCACTATCAAGCAGCCCTTCACAGCTACATCCTGAAGATGTGGTGAAGGGACAAGGTGGTTTTCTGCAAGATGTATCCCTGGATAGAGGGATATCTATCCACTTTATATGAGGACTCTGGGTGAGCTCATAATCATCTTGGGGAGTTTCTGCAGGGGAGGTTGGGATCATTCTTGGTAGACCTGTGTTCACCATTTAAGAAGTGAAGGGATAATTTCTTCCAATAGTCTCTAAGTACAGATATGGTGTAGTTTTCTCACAGAAAAGGTGTCTGCTACTTTTCATACTCACATGAATTCACAGCACTTCTGGAAAATAAAAACTGTAGGAAAAAAAAGACTTAACATTTGAAAAAAAAACCCACCCAAATCCCCAGACAAATTATATACGAAAGGAATGAGCAAGATATTTTCACTTTTGCATTTTTGATTTCTGTTAATTGTGGTGGTGTTTGCGGGGGTCTTAGGATAAGGGAAGAGACGAGAATGTTGACTCCATGTTTCAGAAGGCTTGATTTATTATTTTGTGATATATTAAAACTATACTAAAAGAATAGAAGAAAGGATTTCATCAGAAGGCTAGCTAAGGATAGAAAAAGAATGAATAACAAAGGCTTGTGACTGACTGAGACAGTCCAGACAGCTGGACTGTGATTGGCTATTAATTAGAAACAACCACATGAGACCAATCACAGATCCCCCTGTTGCATTCCAAAGCAGCAGAAAACCATCATTTACATTTTATTCCTGAGGCCTCTCATCTTCTCAGGAGAAAAAATCCTAAGGCAAGGATTTTTTCATAAAACCTGTCTGTGACAGTTAATAGCCTCATAGTCAGGTTGTGTATTTCCCTGGCTGGGTGGACATTAAGCAGCAGGGTGAAGGGCATGGGTGGGTGGCCCCTGTCAGCAGTGTGCTACAGAGACTGTGGTACTGTGATGTGAGTGTCCAGTGTTCCGAGTCCAGGATGTGGCACTGCTCGGTTGGAGTCTCTGCTGCTGCTCCCTCCCGTGACCACTGCTCAGAGCAGCCTGGCTCTGCTGCTGCCACATCTAGCTGCCTGGGAACCCAGTGGGAGAAGAACCCTTCTGCCAAAACGTGGTGGCTCCAAGCTGTGCCAAACACTTGAGAAGACTTGGTCAGTCTCAGTAAATCTCTTGGCTCCATTTTTTTTCAGAAAAATACAATGATGATGTTTTCCTTCTCAAAATATAGTAGTGTAGGTATTCTTCAGGTTCAGATTATATTTAATTTAACCTTCAGTATAATGTGAACTTTGAAATGTTAAAATGCAAAGAAAAACTGAAAGAGTGAATCAAAAATTGGCATTTTTTGAGATACCAGAGTAAAACTTTATCTGGAAAAAAATTATATCTGCCTTGATGAAATTGATGATTTTTAATAGTACTTTTTCATAATATGGGGGAAAAATGTTTAGTGAGTCTATGAGCTTATTCAGTGCTGACTTGCATAATAGGATTTTAACTGTAAAATAGCCTTCATCTTTTTAGCTATAGATTTTGCATTTGGAAAGCTTATTCCTGAGCTATAAATAACAGAGCATGAAAATGTACAGCAAGCTTTTGGAAGCACTGCAAAGCCATATTTTTGGCCAGTTGAAATCAGTGTACCCGTGCAGTTTTTATGCCAGCTGAGCACATGGTCAAACTTCTGCCTAGTCGTATTGATTTAATTTTTTCAGACATCATACATAATCAGTTTTCAGAATTTAAAATGGCCATCATTTTGACTAACAATCTTCAGTTTTCTAAATGCATGATACTGCAAGATACCATCTTTAAAAAAAGAGAACTCTAAGTGCTTTGGTGGAGGATCCAGACAAAGTGAAAATACATTAATACATTATATTGAGGTAGAAATAGTAGTTATTTGCAGAAGTAAATACTTTGTGATTGGTAGTACTAATAAATATTTGCTGAAAGGCCTGCTACCTCAAACCTCATTTAAATGTTGTTATTGTTTGATGCTGTTTAGAAAGAACATTCCTACTGCAAAAATTTGTGCTGTTAATAGAGAAATTAAGTTACAGAACGAATGTAGTTGGTTTGTACATGCAGTATGCAAGTATTTCCCTCTAACTTCACAGTGAAGTCAAATGTCACTTGTAAAACCTTCATCAGCCTTCAGTATTCTTCCAAATTAAAGGTTGATTACATAATGAGATTTAATTGTCTATTTAGCCTATTTTGGGGCTGATATATGTGGTTTTATGTAGGAGAGCCACTGATCTTAATGAGTGAAGCTTCAATGCATTCTGAAACAGCCAACATTTTGGTCCATTAATCCAGGTTAGAATAATTCATTATTTTAGGCCTCTACTTTGTACTCTTACAGAGTTTACTTCATTTTAATAAACTGTGGGTATGAAATAAGTCTAGATGACTCTAAGAGGAGAATGGAATAAGAAAAAAGAAATAATGTTCCTTAATGTTAAATTGTGCCTACTGATGAAGTCTTCAAAAATTGTTGTAAAAGTAGAAATAGACTAAAAATAGTGTTCTCTCATCCTTTAATGAATAGAGGTTTTCCTGTGTATGCTTGTGGTGGATTTTGTTTTATGGCAAATTTACAAAAGTTAAGCATTTGACAGAGATCAGAGATTTCATCAAAGTCCCTGTAGAGAGATCTGCAGCCTGAGACCAGGCCTTTTGAGTCTTCAGGGAAGCTGTGGGAGCATGTAGTTCCGGAATAAAAGCCATGGCATCAGACTACAGTAGCTTCAGTTGTAGATTGAGACCCTCAGTGTCCTCCATTTAAGCACCAAAAGCGGTTTTAAATGTTATGATTTTCACAATGAGTGTCAGTTTTCAAATTCCACATGCTGTTGCAGAATTATTCCCTTTTCTTGTCATTATTCTAGTCACGTATAGTTAAAATTACTTATCCTAAAATAACACTGATGTGAAAAACCCAGTGCATTTCACAGTCATCATGCATGTGAGTGGATTAGAGGAACAGAGAAGGAGACAAGGTCAAAAAGGTAGATTTTTCTTCCTTTTGAAATCAATGAGGTTTTTAAATTTTACTTCATTAAAATCTATTGCCTTCTTCCTAGTGTCTTGGAATAATCAGACTTTTATGTTGAGTTTGAACACTTTGAAAGTAATTTTACTGTCTGTGTGCAAAAGTGAAGCACAGAGAGGTGCTCTTTCAGGTGCAGCAAATTCCTTCCCTTTTACTTGTGAGTGCTGGATGTAGAGCAGAGTCATATGCTAATCCATGAATCTATTACTTTTAGTAGGGCAATGTCTGTGAATTCAGGGCATTTCCAGTCACTTTAAAGCCTCAAGCTGGAGCATTCATCAGAAGATGGTGCCCATGCACCATATACTTTATATCTTATGAAAGAGGTTGGAAATTATACGTGGCACTTCCAAGTAGCTTTTTTCTGCTCTTTCCATCCTTGCTGTTTTCCTCCAAATCCCAGTAACTGGTGGAAAATATTTGCACATATGAAGGTCATGAGAGAATTTAGCCTTTACTTTCAAGGAAATGGAGTGCTGAAGGTTACTGTGAGCTTAAGGTGAAGAGCTTTTTTTGTTTGCTTTTTTCTTACTTGACATTTATTAATGCTGGTTCTCTTTTAGAAAGCAGGTGATGAAGTGGACGTAATACTGTTGGGCAACAAGTGTGATAAGGAGTCAGAGCGGGTAGTTCCAAAACAGAAAGGAGAAAAGGTATCTTTAGTACTTTCTTTGGGTCCTCCTGAGTTTCTTAGTGTGTGACTGAGCTGTTAAACTGAAAATGATAAAAAGCTCCTGAATTCCAAAAGTTCTATTAGGTCTTGGCTCTAGAAGAACAGTTGTGAAGTTCTAGAGTGCTAGAAATACATTAAGTAATCCCTTGCTGATGTCATCAGAATACCAATTTTTCTTTTAAAGGTTAAAATGTACTTTAAAAGTTTTAGATGTTACAACAGAAATCTTATATAGACTTCATTTTCAGAGCACTGTTGTAATGTAGATTATTAAAATGAAATACATTCTGCATACTTTTTCTGATACCACCCATCAGTGAAAGAACTATTCTGGTAGCCTGTGCGAAGTGATCTGCATTGTCTCTTAAATAGCCTTGAATAAGACTGGACAAATACTGAACATCCAGCTCCCCAAAACTGTGTATGTCACATATAGTTGACTCAACTGCAGTAGAGTTTCTAGCTGCTGATCATGGGTGGGGGAAGAACTTACTAAGTGGGGAGTGCTGGTCTAAAGGGAATGGCAAAAGTCTTTCACTGAGTGCCAGTTAGGAAATTCAGAAGCCATGCTATGACAGAAGAAACTGGGATAATAATTAAATATTGCAGGACAGCGTGTCCTATATACCAGTAAATTTTGCTACTGCAAACTGTATGCATCTGTTCTCTGGAACTTGGAATTAGCCCTCCTGTTATGCTTTCAGGCATGGTGAGTCAAGCAGGATGTCTGGATGTCTCATGTTTGAAGAAAAACACACAGATAGCTTCTTGCCAATTATATAATCCCAGATTAGGAAACTTTAAAAAAATAACATCAGCTTTTGGACAACATTACACTCCTGAGAGTTCATAGTTCACATGGAAGATGCTGTCAGTGTTAATGTACCATATCTGTGTACAAGGAATAAGGTTACTGAAAAATACATGTTGTAGTCTCACACAAATCATGCACTGTCAGAAACCCAGAGTCACTGGATGCATGTGCACCAGAGGGCAGTAGTAGGGTTTTGCTTAGGGTATTAACCATGACATTTTCTGACTTATGGGTCCTTAACCTTGCAACCAAAATTCCTCTTGATGTAGTATTTTTTTTTTCAGAAAGAAATCATTACCTCCTCCCCAGTGAGTCTGCTTTCTAGATTTCGCCTGTGTTTTGAGTCAAGGCAACTCTTCTGTTATACTACTTCTTCTTTTAATATGATTTACAAGTGCTAAAGGGTCTGACTGAATGTGCTGGAGAAAGATTCTTTAGCAGAGAGAGAGAGACACACAGTAATTGTCCTCTCACTCTAAAGAAGAAAATATCCTAATTAAGAGGGGAAACAGTTTAATTCCAACTTTGACAAATAATAATTTCTAGTTACATATTTCATATTACCCTGATAGAATGAGCTTTAAAGTGCTGTTCTGTTCAGTCTCTTGCACAGAAGAACTCTAGGTTCCCTGGGAATCTCATAATCTATATTGGCATTTCTGTAAAAATCTGTTATAACTGAGTGGCTATTGTGTATAATTTCATTTCAGTTTAATGCTGAGAAATTTTTTTGTGGTTTCTTTTTGCACAAAATCATGTAATAATTCATTTTGTACAAACGTATGTAATTGTGATCACTCAGAAATTGAGATATTTAATTTTAACACTATGAAGTATATTTTTCTTGTATTAATTGCTTCTTATTCACTTAGATAAAAGTTCTAACTCAACCTTCTTGGGCTCCTCTGTTCAGCCCCCAATATGATTATCATTTTCATTGAAAGATAAAAATGCTGAAGGTTATATGACTTGGTAGAATGTGGCTGGTTTTCTCCTATCCAATCTTTCTAACAGAAAAAGCCAAGTAAAATCCTCTTTCTTTTTTTTTGCTTTTGCTGTCTTCATAGCTGAACCTGATTTATAGTTTCAAGGCTATAAATCAGGTTCAGCTATCAGAGAGATATCACAGATCTCTCTGATTCAGCACTAAGAAATCACACCAGCACTTTGCTAGGAAGTAGTATTAGCATTACTTATTTTATTGTTGTTGGTAAGATACAAGCTTATTTCAAGACAAGTTCTCCAAACTGTTATCAAGGATATTATAAAATATCATTTCTCAGTAGCATAATTCCCACATGTTTGTAAATGTATTTAGGTATTTTATTTATGGATCTCTTCAAGATGCTCCCAAAGGGAAAAAAAAAAAAAGTAGTTATTTGAATACACTTTTCTATGGTCTTTCAGAGAGGGAGTAGCCATATACATGTTCATACTTTCAACTGCTTTACCACTGGACCAGTGGGGGTTTTTGCGCTGAGCTACACTTTTGGAGGACTTGCTTGCCACAAAGATCAGCAGTATGCAGAGTGAAGTTAAAAGATAGATACATTAGTCTTCTGTGACCAATATTGTGCACATATAGAGAAAATGGGGGTGCATTGATAGGTGTAGTGGGCAATGTAGTAACATGATGCAGAGAAGGGTCAAGGTTTTTTTATTTGATTTGATTTGATTTTTCTTTTCTTTGGTCTTCACAAATAGAGCTTGCTCCCAGACCCCTGCAGGTCCCTTCTTGGTTTGGAAAGGAGCAGGTCAGCCAGCAGTGTGAAAGCTTTGGATTAGAAATTGCTTAGGAAATTTGGATGTGCCCATAGACATGAGGAAGTTCTCCCAAGTGTGCTGAAAGAGCTGATCATTGTGATTTGAGCCACTGTCAGTCAACTTTGAAAAATCATGGTGGTTAGAAGAGATCCCTTTCGATGCTGTGATGTGTCTTTTAAAAAAGGCAAGGAAGAAGGTTCTAGGAACTATAGGCAGTCAGCCTTGCCTCAGTCACATTGTTTGGCATCTTCATTGGTGATTTGGCTGATGATAGAAGGAGATTTGCATGTGACATGAGATTAAGGGGTGTGACTGGCACACCACATGGGAGAACACCAGTTCTGTGGGACCTTGATAAACTTGGGAACTGGGCCAGCGGAAACATCGTGAAGTTCATGAAGTGCAAAGATTTGCACCTGTGATGGAATAATCCAAGGCATGAGTCAATGCCCTGCCACAAAAGACTGATGAGTTACAATGAACACCAGCTTGAATATAGGTCAGCAGTCTTCCCTGATGGCTTTAAAGGTGTTGGGCTACATTAGAAGGATGATGGATGGTGGATCTGGGGAAATTATTACCCCCCTTACTTAGTGCTGACAAGGCCACATGGAATATTGTGTCCAGCTTTGGCTCTCCCATTTCAAGAAGGGTGTTGAGAAACTGCATCTGGTCCAGCAGACAGGTATAAAGGTGATTGGTGTCTACTACTAGTATTCCATGAGGAGAGGGAGCTCGATAAAGAGTAGGCTAAGGAGCAGTTACTGGTCTGCTGCAACTGAAGTGGCACTAAAGGAATGACAGAAATAGACTCTTCTCTGTACAGACAGACAATAAACAGATGGGGAGCAGACAGGTCCTGGCTTGGGAGGTTCAGGTTGGAGTTGAGGAGAACCAGTTGCACTAAAACGTTGATGTAGCCATTGAAGAGGGTCCCATAAAAGCTACAGAATCTCCATCATTGGTGGATTTCAAGACTTCTGTAGGAAAAGCCATGGTTGACCCAGTATTGTGTGGGCAGTAGCCTCATTTCAAGTGGCGTTGTCTTTCCAAATTATTTCTGCAATTCCATGATTTAAAGGGTTGGTATGTGTTCATCAAAGTTTGTAAATAGGTAACTTCTAGGAACCTGTTACATGATACAAGGAAGGAAAAGGGCATTTAATAGTAGTTTCTGTGTACTTTATAATCAGTGACCCAGTAGTTCTCTCTACTTTATTAGCCCAGTATTCTTTTATTGCTTGTCTTTTTCTTTATGAACCCTTATGCATCACTGTTTTGTACTGGCAATAGTTGAATGATCTTAACTTTCTGTAACAAGTTGCTGCAGTACCGAAAACAGTTCACAGCAGTCCAGTGAGTTTTAGAATCCCTTATGAAGTTATGAAGTGGTCTCTGTCTAATGAACCAGTTAGATCTCATCTTTATTTTCAGAACTACAATTTCTTGTAGCATTTTGGAAAGGAAACCATTTTACTTACTTTGGGTTTTTTTACCTTAAGTGTAATCGTTATTATATCTTGACTAAAACTCTGGAGTCTGATTATTGTATATATATTGTGTTGAGGTTCTTTTATTCATGCCAACATAACTCAAAGCTATCTGTAATGGAAATACACTGGAAATAAGACAACAGGAGTAAATTAAAGAAAACCAACCAAGTCTATGCTGCCCATCTAAGTATTTTCTCTCTTTGCCTTTTACCATAATATCATTTTACATGCATATGTTTTATTTGCTTGTCTGTTATCTCTGTGCTTCTCTCTGTCTAGCATAAGGGAACATCTCTTTTTTTGTATTTCATCCTGCCACTTTTTTTCAACAGTTCTTGTCATATTTTTATCTGCTGGCACTCCATTAGTTTCCTCTAAATAATTGCTTAGGAGACAGTTAATTTTCCAAATAAATCAAAACACTGAGAACAGACCCACTGGATTTTATTCTTGTTATTTGCAAGTAAAGATTGGTTTAAAAAGCTGTTTTGAAAACACACAAATTTTAGAAGAATGTTTTAAAAGGTACCAGAAATTTATAAACTGAGGATGAATATAGAGTACTTTACTGAGCAGTCATGTACTTAATTAGGGTTTTTATGGAGTGTTAGCAGTCAGAACACCTTCATATTGCTTTCTACTAGTATTAGGAACTGGTTTTTTTCTTGAAGAATGTTCATCCCATTTCCTGCATTTGTTTTTCAGCTTGCTTGGGAATACGGAATGCCATTTTTTGAGACCAGTGCTAAAGAAAACGTGAACATCGAGGATGCATTCTCAGTCTTGACTAAGGAAATCCTGGAAAAGGTAGGCTTCTTTTCCAAGGAGAAAGAAGATGGGAGATTTTTCTTGACAGATTGGGTAAACAAGGTTGTAACTACAGAATAGATTAAGCAAAGCACAGCTGATGCTGTTTTTGCATGCTGGAGTTAGTACTTTGGGGGGATCCTGTAACTGCAGGCATACAGAGGAGGAACATGGGGGAGAAGAATCATGGGAGAACAGAAAAATAAAAAGGTGAGCAGGTACAATACAGTTCAGAGAGAAAGTGAAAATTCAGGAAGACTGCATTTGTGGCTTTATTTCCCATACTTTCCTTTAAGGGTGAGGTTAAAAGCTCCCAAGTAGTTCCACTTCTGTGCCAGGAAGATTCCTTTTTCCTCTATGTTTCTGCAGAGTGTGCACACAGTGAAGATGCCGCATGATGATGAAATCAGTGGAGCTTTTATGTTCAGCAATCAAATGTTTTATCCAAGGTTCATAGCTGTTTGTTTGGTTGATTTACACTAGTGCTTCTGAAGTCAGGGCCTAAAGATTTGAGTTAATTAGTGGTAGAATCAATATTGTATCTGTCAGAATCAGCATCTCTCTAACTTGAGTGTGTTGGCTTAAAGGCCCTTACTCCTCAAAGTTGCAATTCTTTTGTAGGACTGAATTATTGTTCATTAGCTCTGAAAATATTTTGCATTGCAATTTATTTTTAGGCAGCAGAATACTATTTTAGACTTTAATAGATGTTCTTCATGCAATGTGTTATCACTGCCATTCATCACCAATATTAGTTGTACAAAACTAACCTTCCACTCCAAATACTCTTCAAATCATAATAAAGATAAATGAGCAAAATTACTGACAAAGTCACAAGTAGCAGTGTTTTGATTAAGTAGCCATAGGGGTTGGTCAGGGGATGGTGCTTCTAAATTGGGGTCTTGTCATACTACATATTAACACAAGTTGTAGTTGGTTATTTTGGGGGAGGAAAAAAAAAGGCTAAAAAAAATTTTGGTTACTTTGACATAAAAGTGAAGCTCAGCAACTGAACAGTCAAATATTGTTTAGAACAGGAGGATAATGGCAGGCCCTTGAGTTACTGAGCTTGTTGGAAAAAAGTCTCAAGTAAAATAACTGATTTTGTTGTAAATGAAAGAGACAATGTCTACTGTAAATAGAGAATATATTGTTAGTATGAAACATGAAAACTACAAAACAATAGCACTGAACATAACTGCTGCAAAGACAAATATGTGTGAAGTGAGCATTTCTGCAGAATGTGTTTGGATGATAGCTAAGAGAATTCTCTGCACATGCAGAAATGATGTTTGGGTATTTTTCCCATTAAGATTGCCTACACTTACTTTACGGTAAGTGAAACTTTAGTATTGCTACTCACCTTCATGAAAATTCATGGAGTTTGTAGTGTGGACATGGCAAAAAAATTCAGGCCATGTTGAACATGTTACACTACTGCTTGGTTTTAATTAGAACTGCTTTGAACAGTTGTATGCTCTGCATGTATGTGTGTTTGGAAAGTGTGCCCATGAGAATTTGTCATATTTGTCTGTAGTAACATTTCACCTTAGCTAAAAATATTTGGAATCCTGATGCGGCATCGTGTACCATTACTTTGGTGTATAATTTGCCATTTTTAGTAAAATGCATTTGTTGATTTAAACAAGAACCCCTTTAGCCCAATTGGTTTTACCACTGGGCTGATAAGAAAGAGTTTGCTAGGAAAAAAAAATTCTACTATACAGTTTCATCATGGTTTTCAGGTTCGACAAAATAATTTGCCTGTTCACAAAACTGTGAAATCTGAATGTACTACTTGAATTTTAACTTCCTCTAACTGATGAAATTTTGGAGAATGGAAAATGCAGTAGCAAGTGTGACTAGTAGCTGTGAAAAATGACATGATAGATGCCAGTCTGAGATAATTTCAGTCATACATCCATTTGGTAGTGGTGAAATACGTATTTGCTGGTTGTAAAAAGGAGATACAGCTTTGCACAGTATTTTGGCCCAAGGCACTTATGCCTGGGGATATCAGGCATCCCTACCCTCTGCAATGGACCATCTGTCCCAGACTGATGAGATGCTTCAGTGGAAGCACATCATTGCTTTCCCAGTCCCACAGAAGAAAGGAACTCCCTAGGACAGTCTATTATGGCCACGCTTTTGGGAAGTGCGTGAAGCCTACTCAGAGATAAGATAAATAAGCAGGGTAGGCTCGCAGGCAGTAGACCATTCTCAGATGCATTGCTGTAGACTGTATTAATCTGAGGAAATCTAGGACTTTTTATGTACATTCTTGCTTGCCATCTACTGTGGGCATGTCCTTAGTAACTTCATTTACACAAAGCACTCCTGTAGATGGGGAAGATTGATGTCCAGAGTTATAGAGCTCATACAGAAGTACTAAACTTCTTGACTCTTTCAAAATTTAGAAAAGGTTGTGGTTCAGTGGTGGGTTGGGGAAAAAAACCATATTAAAAGTTTCATATTAAAGACATTTAAACAACACAAAACAAAAAAGCACAAGTGTTTCAGTGTATTGTCACTATTTTGTACTCATTTTCCCATCTTTTTTGCAGTTTGTCTTGTAGTGGGCCTAAGCGGGAGAGAAGACTTCTGTATCCCAGTGATCTGGATAACTAAAGTGCTGCTTGACCTTTTAGATACTTCTCATCTCAGCTATTCTATGCTGGGTCTTGGTCCTGCAGCTCTAATTTACATGGGCAGGCTCATGAAAACCATCAGATTTTTTTTGAGGGTTTTTTTTTGCTTACATTGGTAACAACTAAGGAGTCACGCCATATTTCTGAGAACTCACAATTTTCAAACCAATCAGTTAATAATAACTGAATGCAGAGGAGTTTTAACTTCCTCTGACTGATGAGTTTTTGGAGAAGGGCAATAATAACCAATTTGATGGTATTGAAAGGCTGCTGTGGAAATAAATGTTAATGACATAGATTATTCCAGGAGTTTGCTTAGGCATGTATAAATAACAGTATTTTATTTATTCACAAGTCTCATGAATCTCAGATATGCCTAAACCTGTTCATTAATAGATGACAGCTGTTCTTTGACAATGCTTCTGGTTGCTAGTGAACTATTTGAACTTGTGAGTCAGTCCTCTAAAAACAACCAAAACCAAAAAAATACCACCCAGAATGCAGTTAGCATTTGCCCTTTTGTGTTCTTTGGTTTCATGCCTGGCAAGCAGTAGTGTTCTCAAGTAGGTTTTCAAAAAAATATTACAAGCCTTTGTATATGTCCTTTTGGGTGTGATTGTTGGTATTTTTCTAAACTAGGATCGGGAGAGAGCTCCATTAAAAAAACAAAAAGAAGAATGGAGTTGTCACCTTTTTCTGAAAACTGCAATAAAACTAACCAAAACTTATATTCTGCCTACCTCCCAAGAGTGATTGACTACTAAGACTATTTTAATCATATTAAATAAACACATATCTCCTGAGTAGAGAGCAGTGAAAATCCATTTAAGACCTTGCCCTGTGCTGTTGAGAGTAACATTTAATGTTTAACAGCTGGATGTCATTTGAGATGAACATTCAGAAGTAGCAGGCCTCAATTTTGCCCTTCCTTCATTTCTTTACACTTCTTTCCTATGGCAACAAGATTGTTGTGATTATACTGTGTTTTCTATTCCTTTGCTCTTAAAGTACCTTTGGAACTTCTTAGCTGATTTTAAACAAATTTGACAGATCAAACTAAAAGATAATTAAGTTCCTGAGTAGTTCCTTGAAAATAAGGTGAGAGGCAGAGTACTCTGCAGAAGGAAAGTCTCCAGCATTAGTTCATAGAATATTAGAGACCACTACACAGAGAGACTGAAAAATGCTTCAACCAGCTACTCCAGCTGGAACTTGCATCACAGATATCAAATTTAATTCACTTCAAGACCTAAATCCATAGGAAATCGGATTTCATTATTGCTGAGGTTCATGGAATTGTTAGTTTGTCTAAAAGATCCCTGTGTCTCCAGCAGTGCATACTCGGTGTTTCTTTATTACCCTTAGTCATGCATGGAGCCCCAGGCTTTATTTGCCCTTTATTTATCTTGTACTGACCACAGAATAATAATTCCTTCGAGAGGGTTTTCATAATGCTTGTACTGCTGTACTTTTTATCCATTTTAGATTTTTATCTCCTTAACTTTCTTAGTAACATTAGGTATATTCAGCATTGCACATGTGGGAACAGAGGTACAGAGATTAAAGCAAAGAGGATAAATGGTACCAACCCACTTAGTGCTGGTGCAATGTAAGGCAAAATTTAACTACGCTATCTTATTTAATTTTTTTAAAGTCTGTTCTGGACATTGAATGAGCCAGATATTTTTCTGGAAACAGTAGCATATAATTAGGCCATGTAAATCAAAACTTAATCACATCATCTGTGTATAGGGGATGAGACTCATCTTAGCATGCAATCTTAGCCAGCTAAAATTTGCATGACTGGTCTGGTTGTCTGGAATCATCTCTATTCAATGGAAAGAGATGAGTCTTTAGGATAAAATTGTGTTTTGGAGGTGCCTTTCTCCCTCCATTGATTATGGAGGCCTCCATATCTCAGCCTGTATGGTTTCATATGATTCAAATTAAATAAATTAAACTCCAGGAACACAAAAAAAGAAAGTTACAGACTTGGCTTACTTCTGGCATTTGCTTCTGCGGGATATTGACTTTGAAGATATATTGCTCTCTTAAACAGAGTTTTTATGATGCAACTATATTAAATTTCACCTAGATGATCTGTAGGGTTGAGGAACCTCGCAGGAGATCCACACCTGTTTTCTCAAGTTTGTGAATAACTAATTGCAGGACAACATTGTTACAGTCTCAATGGTAGTAACAGGAGAGGGAGATAGAGCCCCAGGTTTGCCAGTGGGTTAGATGTTTCAGACATGGTGGAATAGCAGGCTTTGGGAGCAAGACCTTCATCAGCATTCCTTGAGGAATGTAGTCAGCAGTTAGATCCTGCTGTGCCAGACCTCATATCCTCCTGTCCTGCTCCTGTACCTGTTCCCACAGTGATTGATTGCCTTCCCTGCTAATATATCCCTAGCCCTTGCTTAGTACTGCTTGTGCCATGTCCAGCCTATTGTGATTGTGAGACACTACTCTCTTGTATTTTGAACAGGTAATTTGAATTCCCAAATATAGGGGAAATACATAAAAAGTGTCGGGACTATTAATAACTGAGCTCTCTCTAATGGTAGGTCAAACACTGAAGTCACATGGGACTTAACTTCATGAAGTTCTCTGCCAGTCTTTGTCAACTATCCCCATTAAATATAAACAAAATTATTGCAGTAATTAAGTAGGATCATTTTTTAATAGGAGTAAAAATCCTCAAATTTAAAGAAGTTATAAATAATAGTAACCTCAATTCCATTCTCTTCTGTTTTCCTCCAAAGCTTCTAATTTTTCAGCAAGCACTCTAGGTCTGACTTTGACTGGGAACATGATATGGATAAAGTAAAATCCTGTCACTCTTTCAAACCCACAGTGAGCCCCACCTTCAAAATAACTTAACCAGTATCAAAATACCAAAAACTGGTGCTAGAGAAGGTGGATCCACCATTACCTGAGTAGGTTTTCAGCAAGGAATGTGCAGCTGAGATTAATGAAGATTTATATATTTACTCCATTAGAAAACTTTCAGAGAGGTTGTTGGGTTTTTTTCATTACATTTTCCTTTGTATTCTACCCTAGCTTTCTTGCCTTGATTAAAAAAAAAAAAAAAAAAAAAAGGTAACTGAGCCATCTCATCACAATTCCTGTGTCTAGGTATCTATTGCATGCCAGTGATACAAATTCTGCTTAGAAGTGGGCAGGAGAGACAGCCAGAAGGGAAGTTTTAAGCAGGAAGTTTAAAACTGGCTTGCAGAGATGCCTCCCAGTTAGGTGAGACATGTCTGCTGCACTATTTAACAGGAAAAACTAGTATTTAATAGCAGGAAATTTCAACATCTTACTGAAATCACTGCAGGGTACAGAGGCATCTGTGTCTGCGGCGGTATTTTCAAAACCTCACTTTGCCCAAGATACTGAAGTGGAAACTCCAGCTTCTTGGTACCATTTTGGTTCTTCTCACCTTTTCAGTTTTTGGCTGTTTGTTGGCTGACTTGTGGAGCAGTGAGTTCCATGCAGCTGAGCTGAAATGTGAGCTGGAAGTGTTGGTGTTCATGGAGCCCTGGAGGAGGAATGCTGCCCGCCTTGTTCTCACAGGTGGGAGATTTGCATACCTCCCTGCTGTAATTTCGGGAGAGGGGGTGCCCCACCTCTCCCAAGGCTTGGCTGAGGCTGAGCACTACGTGGGATTGCCCAAATCTGATCGTGGCTTCAATGCTTTATGCAGGACTTGACGTATCTCTTTAGATTATGAACGTGCACTTTTTAAATATGTGTGCAGCACATTTGCTTAAATGGATCCCAGACCCTTATTTGCTTCACAAAGGCCCTATATGGAACAGTCTTACAAACTGAAGTGATTAATAGTCCTCAACTTTTAAATTAATTTTAAAATGACTGTTCTTTATTTGTGGAGTGGTGGTTCTTGTCTGTCTGTCCTGGCTAGTTTGTAGGTGAACTAACAAATAATGATTTTAGAGATTGTAAGAACTGTTGCATTATCAAATATGTTTCATCATTCTTAATCACTTAACAGTAGTGAGGATCCTTGCCAAGGATATATGAAGAGCTTACTTACCATCTAAAAGTACTATTGAGTAGTAAAATGCTAAGGATGCAAATTAGTATCCTTAGTGTTTAAGGAAATGTAAGTTTCTCCCCTTTGACTGGAAGTTTGGTCTTGAAGTACAATCTGCAACTTCTTCAAATTACCTGCTGTTTCCTCTAAGTAAGTGAAACTTGAATTTTGAAATTTACACATAGAAAGTCACAGGGTAATTCAAATGGGGATTTTTCTAGAGCTCTTTTACTACCTAAACTGATTGTTTTCTCCAGAAAAAGCATGGGTGAAACAAAACCTATTTAGTTGATGTTCACAACAATCAATGCTCAGTGTTATTTCTTGGTCTCAATTGAGTGAAATTAAATTTCTTACTGTACCATTGTCTTCCAAAGCTTTTATTTTCCCCTCAGAATCTTATCTCTAAACCAGAGTGGTATCTTATTTCTTGAGATGACAAGGTTATGTTTGTGTAATTTTGAATCTGCCTTGCTCCCTTTTTCAAAAAGATCTTAATAAAAAATTATTTTACAAAAATGTACTGTCTGTGCTTGCAGACTACCAAATACTGTCTCTGCCTAGCAGAAATCATAATAGCCACAACTGTGTAAAAAGTTAAAACTAATCAGAAGCTATAAAGCTGCATGTTGGTATTTCTAGGAATTCTCAAGGGTAATAAAAATGCTATGCCTTTTGGTCCTTCCCACTCAAAAAATAAATTTAAAAAAAGCCAAAAAAACCCAAAACAGACAAACAACCCCAAGTAAAAGTGCACCTGCTGTATTTCTTCCTTATGTGGAGAATTCATTATGACAAGAAATTTCTAAAATCAGTAAGCAACAGTCTTCAGATATTCTAGTCAGACCATATTTGCTAATAATTTTGCTGATGACAGCTTCAGCATCCATCCTGGGGATTAGACACCACAATACATTTCCTGCCCTCTGCTCCTTCCTCTATCCATCACTTTTGATCCCTTCCCAGATGTTTAATGTTCTCCCCCCAGCACTATGCACTGTGGAAGCCTCCCTGGGTCCCTGCAGCCTCAGGGAGGAATGAGCTCAGCCACTCTTTGTGGGGACAGCTCTGGCACAACGAGGCCAACACTCTGGAAGAGCTGGAACTATGGCTACAGAAGGAAAAAGGAACCCAATTCCATGCATCTTCTCCAGAATTTTAAGAAGTGATGAATATTCTTAGCCAAAGAGGCATAAAGCTTCTTTGTAGCACGGGGGAGACTTTACATTTTACCCTGATTCTGATGCAGCTGAGTAATTTTAGGTGAAGCTTTCTGGATATAGTTAGTGTTCAACTACCCTGTGACTTTCTATGTGTAAGTTTTCAATTCTGAATCATGATTAGTACTGTACTACATTATGCCCTTTTTTCCCTTCTTCCTTTCTTTTTCTCCTGTGCTTTGGATTTCATTCATTCAGCTCAGATTGTTGGAAGCTTTCTTTATTGTCAAACATGGTTGTTTATGGCTGTTGGGTTTGGGTTGAGAGAGGAATGTGGTGAATCCAGAGGTTGTACTTATTTCTCTGTGCTTGGTTGCTAAACCTGCCAAGACACAGGCAGCAGAGTGGCAGGTAGGAAAGTTGGGGCTTTCATTTTCCTGGGCATGTGACAATATCCTGTGTGTCTTTGTGCCCTAGTTCAGGGTTCAGTGTTCATAGTTTCAGAGAACAGGATTGCAACATGTTCTGCATTGCACAACTGGGTTTGATTGTTTCTCTGGTCAACATTAATTATCTAGTTGAGTTCATTGCTGAAAGGAAGAGTCCTGGTTTTGATGATTTTCATTTTTGTTACAATCTGCTTTTGCAATCAGTACATAAATGTTTTACAAGGGTGGAGTGCTATTTTGATAGTTTATCATGATAAAGACTGAGCTGTTTCCATTTGGGGGTATTCCTGGTTATTAAATAGAGGCAAGAAAACAGAATTTTACTGAATTTCACAAAACAAGTTAACATCCTTTATAATAGTTAATAGCCTGTGCATTTTCTTTAGTGAGTACTAATATTCTGTATTACCTGTTCCTTTCAACTGGACTTTTCCAACCCATGCTCAATACTTCAAAGATAATGGTACTTAACTGAAAATCAGCTAAAATTTGTAGTCAACAGAAGAACCTGTACTTATAGAACAGTTCATGTGAGTAAAGATTTACAGGATTGGCATGTATGGTTTGTAGTGACTCCTCAAAAGACATTTTCTGTTCCCTTCAGATTTAGGAGAGGTGTTTGAGGCAGCTAAAGAATGTAAAGATGCCAAATGGGACTTGCGTAGGCATCAGTTTCCATCTAATTTATTAGAAAACTTGAATAATTTAATTAAATATTCAAAGGAAAAACATATCCAGTGACTGCACCAAATATTTTACATTAAAGTATGTGAAAAAGCAAACTTTTCAACCGTTGTGTTCTAGTTATCTTAATGAAGTGTTTGCTTTTGTTTGTTTTTCAGAAATCCGGTGTATTACATGACTTAGACGTTGTATCTCTAAATGAAACTAAGAAGAGAACCTGCTGTGCATTCTAAAATACTGTTTCTTATTCAGTTTTCTCTTCAGGAAATATCAAGTGTTACAAAGGAACATATAAGATTTTAAAAGTGAGCCTGCAATCCAAAAATACAGTGTTTAAGCATTACACAGACATTGTCACCAAATTTTTTTATATGTTTATATTATATTTTCATATTTTTAATGTGAAGATAAAACAGCTATCTGATTTAGGAATTATTAGGTGCTTTACAGGGTGACAGTGCTTGAATGTAAATGTTTGCAGAAATGAAGTCTTAAGTGTACTAATTTTCTGTTATTAAAAAAATACCCTTCACTTTTTTTGTGTGTTATTTATACCAGATTTGCAATACAATGAACATTGACATCATCACACAAGCAACCTTCTGATATATGAAATCATATAACATCTCTTTAAGTACCTGATATTTACTGCAATCCCTTAAGACAAGTCTCAGAGAATTTTTGGCTTGGTTTCTTTTATACTAATTTCAGACACATACATGCTACCTTAATACCCTTGAATAGGGACTCTGCAAAGGTGATGTCTGAAAGAAAGGGATAAACCATATAAAGGTTGGTGTTATAGAATGGTTTGGGTTGGAAGAGAGCTTGATCATCTAGTTCCAGCCTCCCTGATATGGACAGGGACACCTTCCACTAGAGTATGTTGCTGGACCTTCCTAAGAATTCTGAAAGCATGGAACAACAGAATACATCTGCATCAAGTAATAATAATAATGTTTCTGTTATTTAAATTTCATAATTCCTTAAAATAATTTACGTGTTAGCCGCATACCTGCATTTTCAAATGTTCTTTTTGTCACAAATGATCACAATGAAAGGCTTTCTTTGATATTGTGTTTATTGTATTTATGTTGTTTTCTCAAAGTGTAAATAGAGGAGTTATCTGATTCTGCTCACGTAGATTTGTTTTATACAGACTTGTAATATCTTTAAAATCTGTGGAGAATATCTTACCTAATTTTAAACAAGGGCAAAATCAGGATGCTGGTTACTTTTTCTTTAATCAAAAGCAAAGCAAGCACAACTCAAACCTGCAAGATAAGCAAAAAGCAAACATAGGTTAAGAAATCTAAAGAATTGTGGCGACTATACTGTCTTCTTTTTTTCTCCTTGCATAGGAGATGTGGTTGTTTTATCATTATTTTAAAGGACTAATGCTGTAGTGCAGAATTGTGTTTTGATCCATCCCAGCACATCCAAAGTAACTAGCCCCACTGGCTTACTGTTCTGAAATGCCACTAATCTTCTGAAATACTCTTGGTTCTTCTTGAGGGCTGTTTGCAGATTGTAATAATATCAAAATATTACTAAATTTGGTATTGAGAAAGGGAGCTCAAATGGAGCATGTGGGACCAAATGTGCCTGAGCATAGTGCCAGGTTTATACACCCCTAGCCCAGTTAATGTGCCTGCAGAAATGTTACAAAAGGATGGGCTGGGCTCTGTATTTACAGCTGCTCCTGACTACTCATCATGGCCAGTCACTGAAGCTAGTGCTTTTCACAAAATATGAAAACAAGGAACAAAGGATAATTCCTGCCTTCATTAAAACCATAGCAGAGGGAGGAAATAGTGCTGGAAGGGATTTTGAGAGTCTGTCTGGGTTCTCATCATATCTCAACCTCTGATCAGCTGCCCCTGATGAAATGCAAGAAGCTGGTCAGAGACCTGCAGTGGTAGAGATTTCAGAGTGTCTCTGAGTGGCAACAGTCCTTACTTAACTGGTCTGGTAAGCAGGAAATTTCCTAATACCTAACCTAACTGGTACACATGGAAAGTAGGTTCTCCCTTTCCTCTTGATGCAGGCGAACACCTCTACCTGCTCTCTTCTCTTCTCTTCTCTTCTCTTCTCTTCTCTTCTCTTCTCTTCTCTTCTCTTCTCTTCTCTTCTCTTCTCTTCTCTTCTCTTCTCTTCTCTTCCTTTCTCTCTCTCAAGAATTCCCAACCTTCCTACCTTCCCTTGTAGTTTGGATTTTCAGAATTTTTGCCCTTTTTGTCTCCCTCCTCTTAGGGTTCTTGAGTTGGTTCTCAGCTATCCTGGATTGTAGACCTCAAATAGAGCCGACTATTCCAGTTTAAATAAAAATGGATAGATTTAAATTATGTTTTCATTATCTTACTTGTGATACTCCTATTTATGCATTACAGCATCAGCATAACACTAGGTAGCCTAGCACGACTTGTGATCCATAAAACTGCTTTTTTTTATCCTGCTACCTACTTGTGCAGTTGATTATTCCTTTGGATGTGTAAAACCTTCTGTTTCTCCTTGTTCAGTGGCATTTCAGTTGCTCCAGTCTGCCAAGATCCCTCTGAATTGTAATGTTGTGCTCCAAGATAGTTGGAGCTCTTCCTATAAATACTGTCTCCAAAAGAAGTGCACTCTGTTCACTCATCAATGATGTTGATGAAGGTCCTGGATAGTTCTAGATCCAAGATGGATCTAAGTGAAATTCTGTTTGATGTATCCTTTCAGCTTTGTAGTATTAATTATTTCCAAATAATTTCATATTTATATTGCCTAGACTGTTCATTTGGAGTTGCTTTTGTAATAGGAACACATTATAAGAAGCTCTTATGATCCTCAGTCTTTCTCCCCATCCACAAAGCCTGTTAAAACACCTTTATTTAGTAGAAATTCACTTGATCAGTTTGTATATTAGAGCAGTTTGGTATTTCCTTCCTTCCTTTGAGAGAGATGCAATTCCTTTTGTGTTTTCTGGAACCTCATTCTACTAATTCTTGGAAATAATCAGTAGCAATTTTAACGTAATTTGAACATAAAGGAGTTTCACCAGGTTCAGTTTGTCCAAGAATCTTTAATTTGTCTATGTATTTTCCAGTTTATTTGTTCCTTTTTCTCACCTTAGACTTCTGTTGGTAGTGGTAGAGTGAAATCAATTTGCCTTCTAAAATTCAAGGATGAAGTTGAAAGTATCAGCATCACCAGTGATGATTAAATAGTTTCCCCTCTGTGGAATAAGAGACCATTTTTTCCTTAGTATTGTTACTATGCATCTTATCAACAGGCTTGCTATCTTTAAAATCCAATTTTCCAACTTTCTGGGAGCTTTCAGGGTTTGTCCATACATAATCTATATATTTATTAATAATTTAGTAATTTGACCTACTTTCTATTTTATTTCAGGTCATTGAAGATCTCATGGATCATCCAACTTAATCTTTATCTCACTTCCTTTCCCTCCTCTGTATAGATCAAATTCTGAAGTTCTGCCTTTCAACAGTAGTTCTGTGATAAACTTTCAGCTGTTCTAAACTCACAGTTCATCTACTGGCTTTCTAGATTTAAGCATCCATGTAATTCCTCCTTCTTTTTCTAACAATGAAAATATATTTAAAAGGGTCAGATTAACTTGTAATTTTGATTTCTTCTCTTTATAGCTAATGAGAATTTCAAGTAAGGAATTCCTTCAATGCATTTTTCCTTCCTGCAGAGTTTCCTACTATTGTGCTAGGTTTGATCCAGTCCCACCTGAGGGAGGTGCAGATACTCAGGTTCCCATGGCAAGTTTTTGTAGGTGCTCTCCTTTTCACATCTCCTGGAGCAAAACACCTGCCTTTTTCCAAAGATACTCAATGTAGAGTACAAGAGTGTGCCAGTGGGGAATAAACACCACTCTAACTAGAAAGGGCCAACAAAGGTTCAGGTTGGGCATCAGGAAAAATTTCTTCATGGAAAGGGTTGTTAAGCATTGGAACAGGCCCAGAGAGGAGGTAGGGACACCATCCCTGGAAGTGTTCCAAGAAATAACTTGTGATACTCAGTGCTGTGGTTTAGTTGACAAAGTGGTGTTTGGTCAAAGGTTGTGCTCAATGATCTTGCTGGTCTGTTCCAACTGAAATAATTTTATAATTCTGAGATTCAGAGCAAGAAATTTAGGATGTCTGAAATGATCACTGCATCTTCTGTTATGTCCCACTTTATTTGTAAATATTGGAAAAATTGGGCCTTTGGTATAAAAACAAAAATATAGGAACAAGGAATGCAAATTATTGGGGCTTTTCTTGAAGAAATACCAAATATTATGGTTTCCCATGAAACTTACTGTATAAAGCTCAGTTTCATTTGATGTATGCACACAACACTGTAAAGCATGTTACCAGACTCATACTAAAATGAATTTGTTGTGAACAGTTCCCTTTCAGATGTTAACACATATATGAACTGAGGATGAAATGGTTTAAAAATAATGTTACTGGCAATGGAATACATACATACTACAGATTTGACAGACTGTTGCATAAATGTGTTGTGAAATCAATGTACAAGTCAATTCAAAATGCATTTAAGAATAATTTCAGGGATTATTCTGGGTCATTTTGCCACTGCTTATGGGGTTTTATGGCAAGAATTTTCTGTTGATTCATAAAGACTGTCCCTGAACACCACCTGAAAGGCACATAGACAAAAACTAAGATGTTGTGAAACTGAGGCCCTGGCCCTAGGGTAGATTTGCTCTTCAGGTCTGGTGGCTTCATTAGCATTTTACACCAGTAGGAGACTGCTAAGAGATCACACTAAGGCATTGCTAGACATCAGGAAAATTATCTCTAAAGTGTTAATTATACATAAGGCGCAGTTAGAACAAGAAATTTCTGTTATGTGCTGGTGATTTGAATGCCATTTATGTACTATTAGAATATATTCCAAGGAGGTGGAGCTGGAGTACAGTTAGGACACATAACAAAGTGACTCCAAGAGCAAGACATTTAAATATTAGTGAGCATTATGAACTCTCTGCCTGGAGACAACTGAATGAAATTTAGATAGTATCTAGAAGTTACAATTTTTTTAAATGCACATTGTTCCAGTAAAATGGTTCAGAGTGGGCTGGTTTTTTCACGGGTTGGAGAGAGCACAAACACAGTTATAGGAAGACAGATTAAAGGCCCTAGGACATCTAGTACAGAAGAATGAAAAAATGTTTCAAGAAAAATCAACAGTAACTATTTCTGCATGAAAGATGCTTTTCTTCCCAGACAGCAGAAGTGCATGATGTCTGAGAGAGACACATGCTGTGAGATGGTATCTCTCCTGGAGTTAATGGTACTCAAGATAGTGTTTAAGAACAATTCCTGACGGACTAGTGCTTCAAGTCCTGGTGAATCTCAGTCTGATCTGATCTGCTTCATTTTACATACTGCACCTGGAAACCTCATCAAACCTGAATGAGCTAAACCCATGCATTCCATCTTTCAGCAATAATGCTCTTAGCAACAGTGCTCAAGTTCACTGATGACACAGAGATGTGTGGAGTGGCTGATACCT